GGAAAGGAAAGAAGGGAATGGAATTAATAAGAGAAAATGAAAAAAAGGAAACAAAGTCTTTGTAAATAGGAAGAGGTGGAGGGGTTGAAGGGAGGGCAGGGGAATGGGGAAAAAGTAAAAACCAAGAAAGATTATGTAAAGTGCAAATTTCCAATGATGAATGTCATTATGTTGCATACCTAAAATGTACCAATAAAATTAATTTTAAAAAAAGAAAAGTGAAAGTGGAATGTCATTCAGGATGGATATTGATGTGATTTTTAAATGTCTTTGTTTAACAAGGTCAAATGAAAGGAGAAGAACTAATTTAACACCTTGTCATTTTTTATTTTGTTTTTGGATATGATCATTATTAAAGCTATAGTCAAAAATATACATTTAAAGATTTGGCATGTTCTTTGCTATCTTAAGTAAAATTTCCTCTAACTGTCCATATCATCTAAGAAAGATTTCCCTTTCAGACCACTACATACGTATTTGCTTTGCTTTATAAGCAGTGACTGTTTCCCACACTGGCTATTTCATGCCTGGTTTATCTCTGCATTTCTAAAGGATACCTCCCATGGCTCCTAACTGGTAAATGTTAAGTACTCTTCGAGTGTTTACTGGTTTACTGTAAAGTACTCTCTTCAAGATTTATTTTTTTCCTTTATTCAGGTGAATTATTTATGCTTGATACTCTGCCTTATAATTTCTATAATTATCCTAGGTAGCGTGTACTCTCATCTCCATTTCACAAATAAGAAAACTGAAGTTTATTAACTTTCTCATAGTCAGCCAGGTGGTGAGTGGTCTAGTTGGGGTTGTTAGCCTAGATAGCCTGACTCCAAGTCCATTTCTTTAGTTATTATGCAGATTTCCCTCCCAAGTTCATAGTAATAGTAACTTACTGTCCCTTTCACTATTCTTAATAGTATCATGTGTTTATCCCTCGGTTAATCATCAAGATGAGAGATGGGATCATTCATTAAGAAGCACCTATCCTCAAAAGGAATGGGTTTAACTCCACATGAATGGCATGCCTTCTCTATAGAAGGGGACAATTAACTCAGTTGAGTTTCAAGCAGGTGAGTCTGAGGACTCAAAGAAGACATGCATTTCAATATCAAAATTCCTTTAGGACAAGTGATTAACTTCTCAAAGAGCCAGGTCTCCATTTTTCACTTGCTTCTGAAGTTGTAAGATAGATGCCATTTTATAGTTCCCAACACCTTTTACTTCCCAGTAGTGGTTTGCATGTGAATAGACCTAGTTGGATCCAGGAAATGGATTTGGCTAAATTATCTAAAGGGAGTAATCCTATAGAATAGGCATTTATTCAGCAGGTACCTAGTGAGGCCTGTATGATGGAGGCAATGGACATGATGCTAGGTCACAACTGTCATCTAGAAAAACAGACAAAAATTCCTTGCCTTTGTGAATCTCATATTGTAGAATGAGAAGCCAATAATAATATCAATAGGTAAAATATGTATTATACTAGTGTTAAATACTAATAAACAGGAAAATGAAGGGAAGAAGAAAAAATTGGAGATGGATTTTAAGTGTCAACCTCAAAGGCAAACACTACCTTAAAGTCCACCTCAAAAAGAACATGGCATCTAAATTGATGAAAATATATGGTAAATGATTAAATTAAAAAAAATTATTACAGTAAAAGATGTATTGCCATTAATCCTTTTCAGAATACTCCCTTAGTTTCAAACACACTTTTTCTCATCATTCTTGACACTTTCTGAAGCTGTTTGGGAAGTTCTGTTTTGTGAGTGTCTTTGATTTTTGATAAAAAGTATAGTGAAATCAATTCATAATAGCTAAAACTTGGAAACAGCCCAAATGCCCGTCAACTGGAGACTGGATAAAGAAGATGTGGGTTTTTTTTTTATAAAA